CAGTCGTCGCCCTTGTCCAACACTTAGCCTTCAACTTGTTTAACCACGACCTTGTCACGATCACATCCTTGCCTTAGCATGCCCAACCCTTGTCACGCCTTAGCCACATCTTGCCTTACATGCCTTAGCTTTTCCAACTCTTGTCATGTCTTAGCCACGCCTTGCCTTGCATGCCTCAGCCACGCCATTGCCAATGTCTTCTTTTATTTGAACTTAACCTTGACTGAAGTCATTGGGCCTCGACTAGGTTCATCATGTAAATCCCTAGCCAAGCTCGGGCCGCTCGAACCATCAAGCTGAGGGTCTAACAGTATGCCACGTGTGTCCACGCTAACAAAATATCTATTTACGTGGGATTAAACATCTATTTTCGAATCAAAGATATAATGAAACAAAAAATTAAATTTTTTTTTTATCTTTTTCTAATAATTTAATTAATTGGCTATCTAATTTAATCTTATTAGTAAATGATGTGTTAATTAGACTCACTACCTTAAATCCCCTTTTTCATTTTCCTTTTCCCACTCTCAACTTATTTTTATTTTTTCAAAAAAAAAAAAGTATATTCTTGCAGAGTAAAGAGGTAAATTTACCCTTTATATAATCTCATAAAAATAAAGGGTGGATGAGTTAGAAATATCTTGTGAGGAAGGTCATATCTATGAGGTGTATGAGATATAACCTGACTGTGTTATGTACTATTATTTGCTTATTCGGTGGACTATTTAATAGTCTTATCACTTCACGTATTGCATGTGGGGGTAAGGTATATACCCTAATTAACTAATATATGCTCTTATCTCTTCAATAAATTCTTCCCAATTTAATTCAATTCAACTTAAAATTTTAGTTAAAATTAATTCTCACGAAACAAAACGTGCTATATTAATTGGGACGGGGAGTACTATATAAAATCAAAGAGTTAAAATGAAATATATAAGAACTACAATGCTGAAAATGTAAAAATCTTCAAATAGTAATAAATATACCATATTGTAGATGTTACACGGTATCCTATTGAATAAGTTTGAAATCAAGCAGACAATTTGTAAGTATCTCAACATAAATATTGTAAGTAGCTCAAACAAAAAGATTGCAAGCAGATTCGTGAAAAGCCTTCCAATAGCTTCCTTACCTTGGAAATTGGAATCAAGTAGACAGATTACAAATAGCTCAAAAGATAATTTGCAAGTAGCTTAAGTAGACAACTTGCAAACAACTTTTAAAAAGTCTGGTAACTACTTCCTGAAAAGTCTCGCATCACCTTTTTTCTTCTACAATTAGGAAATCACTCCAATTCATTTGTAATGACAGAAATCAAGTTGTTGCAAGTAACTAAGCAGGCAACTTGCAAGTATTTTTGAAAAACCTTGCAGCTACTTAAGTCTTGCAATATTTTTCTTCTTCTATAAACTAAATAAAAAGCAATTCAATTTATTTGTACATCAATCATAGCTACTTTCTAAAAAGTTAACCTCACAACAACTTTTTTTCCTGTGTAAACAGGAAATCAATTCAATTTATATATACATCAATTTAAAGAGGAATACACCCCTCCCCCCACCCCCTGGACCTCCTCAATTTCTTTAGTTATATCTTTTACTATCTTAATATTTTTGTTATTACTTTATGGCACAAATATATTTGAGAATCCATTAAAAAAAGATTATTATGAGATGATACTAGTTGGATGACCATCAAAGGATGTGATACAGTAGTAGATAAGATTGCTTCTTTCTTAATCAAAGCTTTTGAGTATGAAAAAATTCTTAATAGAGAACATTTTATTTTGAATGTAATCTTACACACTATAAATCTAAATTAATCAAATTCTAATATAAATATCAGACATCGAATAAAATAAAATAAAATACTAGTTGGATGAGTGGGTTGAGGCCTCCATGAGAAAGAACCTCCCTTAGTCCTCAACTAATAACATGTTCCCTTATGTGGCATGGGACCCAAACTTTTCTCCATCTATCAAAGTATATTGGGGGCTCTTATCAGGGGAAGTTAGGTACCTAATACTTTGTTGACAATCCACCACATAAGTACGGCCATTAGTCATTACAACAAATTCGTTGGACTACTACTAGTACTATATATTTTTTTTCTACAACTTCCATTTGGGTCAACACCAAAATATCATCATTTCATCCCAAGTGCTAAGTATATTTTTTATTGCCCCACTTTTAAGAAAGTATTATTATATTTAAATACTTAGTAGACGTTTGATCATGCAATTTGAAGGTCTGATTTCAAGAATTAAACTTCAAATTTTATTTTAAATCGTGATTTCAAATACTAAATATTTTAAAATATAAGATTTGGATTTTTAAAATGTGATTTTATTTTTTAAAATATAAAATATGATCAATAAGTTTATCTTTTACAAAAAAAAAAAAAGACTCGAAATTTTAAAATTTGTAAAGTACTTCATACTTCACGTGAAGAAAATATCGTTATCATGAGGAATGATTTTACTAAAGAATAGTTGATTACTATTATTGTTGATTTATTGGATCAATAATTTGTATAATTATGTATATGAACTTTGTAATATGTCATTATTTCGCTCGTAGTTAACATAATTCGTCGCTAAATAGAATAGTGATGAATTTCGTTGTTTTATCAGTTGCTAATTCAAAAATTATTTATAAAATGAACATCGAAATATGTGATATATTCATTCGGTGTCTTGTGATATTTGAATACCTTATTTATGACTATGAATTGTTCATTAGGTAAGATTGTATATGAGTTGATTTATTATTTCTTTTTGCAAATTATGGATTTTTTCATGTTTACCCTCTTTAGTCCATGTTAAGTGAATTGTTGAAAATTGTTGAAAACAATAATTAAAAGTTCAAAATAAGTGAACTATTTAAAATTCCAAAGAATTGTGGATTTTTTAAAAAGTTATCCTTCATTTATAAAGTTTTTAACTACTTTATATTTTTTAGGAGAATAATTTAGGAATAATCAAAAGGATAATAGTGAAAAATAACATGTGAATTATGTCCTTAAATATTTTTCTTAAGGAATGTATTATACCCCCAACAATTCACTTAATATAGACTAGAAGAATTTTAAGAAAAGAGTACAAATTTAGGAGATTATATACAAACAAAATTCAACTTCAAATCAAATTGATTTTAAATCATGATTTGGGATCATGTCCAAACAAACTCTTAATATGATAAATTTTAAAAGTAAATAATATTGTAATCCATAAATAAATTAAAATATATGCAAAGCACTAGAATTATTTTAGTAATCTTTTTGTCTCAAATTATTTATTATATTTTTGGTTTTACTGACTTTTTAAGAAATATATTTTTTTAAGAAAAAACTATTTTAAGAAATATTAATTTAGATTTTTAAAAAATATTTTAATCTTGTTTATATTTAAGCTATAATCTTTCTTAATTAAATATTTACTTGAGGTATGTATTATCTTCATTAAGAGTATGCAATTGTCAAAGTCATGTTGCCATTATATTATCATGCCAACATATCAGCAAAAATGAGTAGAAAGTTCAAATAGACATCTAGAAATAAGTTAAATTAACAACTTCAAAAAATAATGTCAAAAAAATTTACATCAAGAACAAAATAAAAAAGAGATTAATTAATTTTATTTTAAATATTTAAGATAATAATTTTTTGAAAAAGACTACAGATAATTTAAAAAACTTGAGAGAGTATGAATCAACCAAATGGGAATAAAATGATAAGAGTCGCATATATTCTCTCTTTGACTACAACTTTTATTTGAAAAGAAAATAGTTACTTTGTTGATGGGAGATGAAAGTGTGTTACTATGACATCTTAAAAAAATTAAGCTATTGGAAAAAATATTTTTATATGCGAGTTCAATTTTTTTTTCATATATCAAGTATTTTAGAAAATAAATAAATAAATTATAGTGAGGGATAAATCTTGAATCTTTATCTATTTGGTACTTAAATAAAAAATACCTATCTTTTTGAAAATAAAATATACCATTGAGTGTTGCATCGAGATTTTTATGCGGAGTTCAAACATCGGATCGGATGGAAAAATAGTGATAAGCTCTAGGTGAGGATGAAAGGTTTTTTTTTGTGGGGACAGATAGAAAAATGAAAAAGAATTTGTAAAAGGATCGTACCGTCCGTTTGCACTTGAATATGTCCTTCCTCACATATTTTCTCCACCGAATGAAATATTATTATGTGTATCTATGGGACCCAATAATATGACTCTACCTAAAATGCCTTCGTCAATGCTCCCATCCTTTTTTATGTCCTTTCCCGTACGACATTCACTACTAGCGCAATTGACCTTTATACCCTTTATATTTATTTATTTATTTAATATACTTTCCATTTTTTTTCTTTTCTTTTTTGGTTTACCACATTTTAATTGTTAACAAACTATATTTTATCCTTGTTATAATATACATATCTAATTTCTTTTTTTTTCCTTCTAATTTACAAAAACAATAACAATAACATACCTAGTGTATTTCCACAAAAAATGGATTCTGAGAAAGGTAGAGTGTATACCCCTATCTCAGAGATAACGAGGTTGTTTTAAATTTAAGAAAAAAATAGTCCAAAGCAATCCCAACAGGGAGCAAGAAAAATACAAAAAACAACAGATAATAATAAAAACAACCGATAACAATAGAACAAAAACTCTAACAAAACGATACGACAATCACGATACAAAAAAAAATATAGTAAAAGAAATTGAAAGCTTAGAAATAATAAGAATAATACTATGACTATTAATATAAACGAACAACAAGACAATGCAAGTGAGAAATAAGATATTATCACCATGTTTGGATTAATTATCTAGGGTAAGTGTTATTATCCATGAAAGTCTCCATTCTCCAAACTAAGAGGGTATTTTGGTCTTTGAAGCAAAACTCTTTTGGGTGCCTATGGTCTTTCTAGAAAATGGAAAAAACCAACAGGACAATAAGGTAATTGAAACATTCTTCTTCTTTCTTCTTCTTCCTCCTCACTCGGTTTATTCTCAACTAGGCCAGTGATTTTCTGTTAAACGGTTCCTTCTCAATTTTCCATCTTCTATATGTGATCAAATTCACAAATGGACTACAAATTACTTCTCCACCTGCAAATTTTCCCCTAAAAAATCCCACCATTACCAAGAATAACCAAATCTAAGCTGCAATTTAACCATAAAGCTACAATCTTTGTCCAAAATGATCCCTAAAAGTTCAATCTTGGGAACAATGAAGAAGCAAAAGCCAATTTCAGGAACCCATTTCAACCCCTTTGATCTACTTTCTGAAGAAATCGTCTTTTCAGTTCTTGATTGTCTTAATGACAACCCATTTGACAAGAAATCATTTTCTCTTGTTTGCAAATCTTTTTATGCTATTGAGTCTAATCATAGGAAAATTTTGAAACCCTTTAGGCCAGAACACTTGATAAAGGTTCTTAGCAGATACCCACAAGTTACCCAACTGGATCTTTCCCTTTGTCCTAGAATTACAGACGGTTCACTAACAGTTATAGCTAATTTCTGTAAGGAAATGTTGAGGTCAATCAATCTTTCTAGGTCTAAGTTTTTTACCCATGTGGGGTTGTCGAATTTGGTGATGAATTGTGGGAATTTGGTTGAGATTGATTTGTCAAATGCTACTGAGTTGAAGGATGTGGGTGCTGCTGCATTAGCTGAGGCAAAGAACTTGGAGAAGTTGTGGTTGGTGAGGTGTAAGTCTTTAACTGATATTGGACTTGGGTGTATTGCTGTTGGCTGCAGGAAGCTCAGATTGCTTAGCCTGAGATGGTGTTTGGGTGTTGGTGATCTTGGTGTGGGGTTGATTGCAGTTAAGTGTAAGGAGATTAGGAGTTTGGATCTTTCTTACTTGCCGGTAATGGAGCTTTTCTTCCCTTATAAATTTTGTTTTCGATTATGTTTTTGCTCTGTACTTTTGTGTTGGTTATGTTTCTGTTTCTGTTTTTCATGGTAAGTTAGTTTGTTTGTCTAAGTAGTTCATTTGAACATGTTTAGACAGTATGCTCGTCGATTGGTTGGTGTTCCGTTTACTATGATTTTCAGGGTCAAATGATGTGTGTATTCATGTTGTGAATCAATAATCGCTAGATGTGTTGTGTGATTCTTTTTGAGTACTGCTATTTGATTTCTCTTTGTCATACTCTGCCAAGCTTGTTTGCCAATTGATGGCTTATCAGATTATAGTCATGAATCCTTGCTTGTGTCATGAACTCGGTTTATTGAATTGTGATGTATCATGAATGCTAAATATGCACTGTATGTTATAGAACAAATGTAGCTTCGTGATGATAATTTATGCGGCTTTGGGAGTGTTAACCAATGATTTAGAAGGTAATGTGCAGATTAAGCTGGCCAAGAAAGTATCATTATAAATAAAATGCTAAGCTGTTTAGGAATTTCTCACTGATATCCTTAACGAAGTCTATGAGAATTGTGACATCCATGACGGAGGGCACACCAACAAGGGTGGGTCAAGACAAGTAATGGCAGGCTTTTAGCTTGGCAAGCTTCCGAAGAAGGGGTGCACATGACACCTTAAGGGAATTCACATCAGAATGGGAAAGAAGAACTTCGTGAGAATATTTTGCACAAGATTATTTTTCACTCTCTATCCTCCGTAAGGGAGGAAAGTTTCATGAGTTTGCATTGCTCAACAAGTGCTGACATGTCTTAAGTTCAAAACTAGACGATTTCTTCCCATCTGTATAAGCTTTAGTAGGCAAAGTTACCTGGTACGTGTGCTGGTGGGAGGGAGCAGGTCATTGGTGGGTATGCACTAGCTTGCCCAGGCACCAACGTCATAAAAAGGAAAAAGCTAGTGCTGATGTGTCGTCAAACTCAATGATGATTTTTTTTAAAAATTGAACGGAAAATGACATTTCACAGAACATTAAATATTTAATATTATTAAACATTTGCTAAGATTCTTACATTGTCTTAGTTAAATTTATCCCGTGTATTGTGCTTTCTCTACTTGGGAGATATACAAGTTCTGAAAAATGAGTCTGCTTATGCACTTTGCACATCTCTTGCACTTGGCATGCTTCTGACCTTGAGTTTGTTGAAAAGAAAAGATATTGCAGAGTCCAGCTTTTGAATCCTAATGAACACCTCTGCTTGACATTCCGATGCATCTTCAGATGAATAATTGAATGTTCTCTTATCATACTCATGCTGGAATACTCTAAGTTAGTGGAGGTTTTATGCTATAGAACATCTATCCATATTCTCTCGATATCTGTGCACCACTCAAGGATAGCATGACCAAAAAAATTGTGTTTTTAAGCACCTTGGTGCTTTGTCTGATGTCCAGGTCTCAATTACATTTCATGACCATCACAACATGCTCCTTTTTTCATCGTATAATATGGGAAAGTTCTTGTTCATGTGATTCGAAGTCCTTTCTTGACTTATGAAGTTACCACGACTTGGATATGAGCTTAAATAGAGGGACATAGACAATGAAAATTCATATAGCTGGCCCCAACTTGCTTGAGATTAAGGTGTGGTAGTAGTTGTTGGTGCTGTAGTTTCCCACTGCTTTGGTACAGAACTTAAATTCCAGACGTACCAAGTTTCCAGTGACTGACTGTATTTATGAAGTTTTTACATGTAATCTGTTTCTGTGTTCTGTTATTACATTCCATCTCTTTTTCTTTCTCCGTTTTTGTTTTGTTTTGTCTAGGGTTTCTTTATCGATCATACAATAATGTGTTGATCTTCTTATTATACAGATCACTAATGAATGCTTATCATCGATCTCGAAACTGCAATATCTTGAAGATTTGGTTCTAGAAGGCTGTTATGGAATTGATGATGACAGCCTTGCATCCCTTGAGCAAGGCTGCAAGTCACTGGAGGTATGTACTTTGGAAGACTCTGTTTAACAGACTTTGATTCTCATATTTGCCTGATTGCCTCTCCTTGAGATAAATGAACAATAAAAAATGAAGCTAGTATTGATGTATGAAATTGCCAAAAGCTCCCAGGACATAGCTCAATTGGCGAAGGTTGATAAACTTGTGACCTAGGTCATTAGTTCGATCCCCATGTCAAGCGAATCTGATATTTAAGTGGCGAAGGGAGAAGTGAGCCCATCATCCCTGAGTTTCGAAGGCTGCGGTTGGTCCTAAGGGTTGGCTCCTAATGGATTTCTCGGTCATCGAAAAGAAATTGCCCAAAAATTTGTCAAATTGTCCTAGCTTCAAGCACTACTTTTAGATGTACATATATATGACTTTTTTTCCCTAATTGCCTAGTCAATAATTGGAGACCTACTGTGTGAATGCCACTATAAGTACTCTGAAATAGTTAAAGAACAATGTAACTCAGATTTTTTTTTTTGATAACCGAGAAATCCGTCTGTGACCTGCCCTTTGGACCAATCACAGCCTTCTAAACTGGGTGGATAATGGGCCCGCCCCTCTACCCTTCTCCACTTAAATACTAGGCTTCGCTTTGCATGGTGTGGGGCTTGAACCTGGGACCTAAGCCACAAATCCTCCACCTTTTGCCACTTGAGCTAGGCCTTGGGGGCAAGGTAACTCGGATTTTATGCACCCAGAATTCTACCTAATTGTCAGATGTCCCAAAGAAGTGGACTATTGTGCAAATCAAGTGTTGCCTTGCATGTATCATGCCTTTTGGTCCTTTTTTTCCTCTTAAATAACTTTTTTCTTTACAAGGTACTATTGACTAATGTCAGTGTATGTATGTTGGCTCTTTTCAGAAACTTGATATGTCGAGCTGTCAGAATGTTAGTCATGTGGGTTTGTCATCTCTTACCAGCTGTGCTGGATGTCTGCGACAACTTGTATTGTCGTATGGTTCTCCCGTAAGGCTTAACAAACTTGAGCATCTTTCAGTAGTATGAGTTTTAATTTGATTGTTGATTTCAAATTACTGGTATTTCAGGTTACACCTGCTGTCGCAGATAGCTTGCAGAAGCTTTCCAGGTTGCAGTGTGTCAAACTAGATGGTTGCCAAGTTACATGTTCTGGACTGAAGGCTATTGGAAATTGGTGTGTCTCACTTAAAGAACTGAGCTTAAGTAAATGTGTGGGAGTGACAGATGAAGGTCTCTGCTCCCTCGTAACAAAGCACAAAGACTTAGGGAAGCTTGACATTACTTGTTGCCGCAAGATTACTTGTGTATCAATTTCCCATATAACGAATTCTTGTTCCTCCCTTACTTCTCTTAGGATGGAGTCTTGTACTCTAGTCCCAAGAGAAGCTTTTGTTCTAATTGGACAGCGTTGTCAGTACCTTGAAGAGCTTGACCTTACAGACAACGAAATTGATGATGAAGGTCACCCCTTTACCTTAAAGGTCTCAGGCTTCTGTTGTAATTTTGAAAGTTCCTCCTTTATATCTGACGGTGTCCTACATATGCAGGCTTGAAGACCATTTCCAAGTGTGCCAGCCTTTCCAGCTTAAAGCTAGGGATCTGTCTGAACATAACCGATCAGGGTCTTATCCACATTGGCATGTGCTGCTCAAATCTTAAGGAGCTTGACTTATATAGGTATGTATTTCACAGTTCATGGGATATTATTTGAGATAGTGTAACTATATATCTTGTGCAGTTTTTTTTTTATATTCTTTTCTCTTTGTGATGGATTGGCTAAACTCACTTTTTAACTATGGAGTACAAGAGATTGAGTGTGCTGATTGCTGGGTTATTCTTCTTGACAGGTCTGCTGGAATTTCCGACTTGGGAATATTAGCAATCTCTCGCGGTTGTATTGGCCTTGAAATGATCAATATTGCATATTGCAATCGTATTACTGATGGCTCATTCATATCTATATCAAAGTGTTCAAAGTTGAATACACTTGAAAGTCGAGGTTGTCCTCTTGTCACATCTTTAGGTCTTGCAGCTGTTGCTGTGGGATGTAAGCAGCTTACAACACTAGATATCAAAAATTGCCACAACATTGATGATGCCGGAATGATTCCACTTGCTCACTTCTCGACAAACCTCAAACAGGTAACCACAGTTTCTCTTTCGTCGACATTGATGAACTGGAGCATTGACATCTAATATGAGCTGGCCATCTGTCAATTACACAGATAAATTTATCCTACACTTCAGTGACGGACGTGGGGCTGTTGTCTCTTGCAAGCATCAGCGGTCTACAGAACATGACAATCCTGCACCTCAAGGGTTTATCTCCTGGTGGGCTAGGAGCTGCACTGTTGGCTTGTGGCGGACTTACTAAAGTTAAGCTGCAGACATCATTTAAATCATTGCTACCACAACCTCTCCTTCAACATCTAGAATCCCGGGGTTGTGTTTTTCAGTGGAGAGAGAAACCATTTCAGGTATCTTTCTCATATTTATCATTACCTACTTTTTCTCTGAAAATATGTGAGGTACTTCTATGGTTGTTGAAATATGCCGTCGTATGAATCAATTAGAATTACATATTTTAGCTTAACATGACATAGTTATTACTTGATCTAGAGGGTCAATGCAGTTTCAGAGGCTTTCTTGTTTGGCATTTAATTGAGACAATAAAATTACAGTTTTGATTATCTTTGTTGTAATAATGAAAATATCCTTTTTGCTTGATCTAGTCATTAATTATCTTTCTTTTATTGGTTAAACACAGGCTGAAGTAGATCCAATATACTGGAAAATTCAGCTGGACAATTTAGACTGAAGATTTGAGCCCTCAGTTTGAGCCATTTATGCGAGTGTCCTAAGATGGATAGTCGCCCCAGAACCTCCGGAGTCCTTACTTCATCTGTTAGCACTTCATCAGGCAAGGTGTATTGTTTATGGCGACTGTTTTGCCTGTTAAGTGTCTGCAACTTGTTCGTCTGTATCCTCTAAACACTCTGTAAATTTCAAAAACCGGGAAAAACTCAATGTCCATTCAGCATTGCCCCGGCATGAAATCAATTTTGTCAACAATGTTATGAGATGGATTAAACAGATCCAAATCATGTTTATTGTTTAGCAATCAATATATGGGTTTGTGAATGTTTATTCCTCTTGACTAATGTGATTTCGCGTGAAGTTACTTCAAATTTACTCTCAATTAAATAGTTATTTGACGGAAGTAGCTGTGCTTGTGCCTTAAGAACTTTTCGCCCCCTCAACTCTTTGAGCTTTCCAGTCTTAAGAATGTCGATACCATTAAGAAGATGAAGCATCATAGATTTCTTATATGCTTTTGATCAATCCCTTCATGTGATTCTTAAAGTAGGGGTGGAAATATGATAATTATACAGTCCGAACGAACAACTAACTTTGTTATAAAGAGGCTTGACCATTTGAGTTATGCGATTAATCTCTCTAATGTTTAATGTCGCACCATGATGTGAAAGAATCAAGTCTTAATTAACATTTGCTGACAAATTCTCTGGATATGAACTGCTATTCTAGTTCAATCAATTAACTCTTCATCAGATATAATGTTGTCAAGAAGTTCTTGGACATGTAGAGACTTCAAACTAAAAGAGCACTCCATTAATTTGATGACAATTTTTTTTACAAACAGATAAAATTTGCACTCTGAATTTCAACTCACAGGTATATGAATGTTTCTGTACATATGTACATGATCAAAACAGACACAGAATTAGTAACAAATGTACATTGGCAGAATGAAGTTGATCAAAGAATTATCAGACTTGGAATATCTTAAAGATGTGATCAAATGTAGGATTTATTTGAAAGCTTATGTCCAGAAATGAGAGCTGAGACTGCCAGAGCAAAGAATGCCAAGAACTCCATGCTAATTGCTGCTACTGAAGAATCTGTGAATATGTTGTCATTGTTTTCTCTCATCCTATTTGTCAGCGGCACAGCAGATGATGCAGCTGATAATAAGAAGTATGCTACTACCTGCAATTCCACAAAAAAAGTAAGAATTCAATCAATTTCATGTCTCACGATCGATTTAATCAAAGACTAGCTTGGTTTCAGAGATAAAGAGTCAATCACGAAAGGCACTTTTCTTACTGTTTATTAAATCCAAACTTCATGCTCACTAATGAAATCAAGTTAGTATTAAGAACAAAATCAGAGAATGGAGTCCACTGGCATGAGAATCAAGCGAAGTAGAGACATAAGCAGATCCAAAGAAAAGAAGCAAGATGGCCGCGAATGTGTGAGTTAAGCACATATCACTAGTTAGAATCTTATCACGGACAAAAACCTAGTATTTACGTTGAGAAAATAAAGGGACATACACATTACCTACTGAGATCAGCTGACATTTACAACAACAAAAACATATCCCGTGTAATCGCACAAGTAGGGTTTAGGAAGGGTGGTGCATACGCAGCCTTCCCCTACCTTGTAAAGGCAAAGTGACCGTCTCTAATAGACCCTAAGCTCAGCTGACATTTCTTGGTTATAAGCAATTTTAATCAAGCCCTTCCCTTTTTCACAAATCTTGTTGACTACTACTCACCATATCTATTGAATTCAATTGTTCATATCAATGGAAAATGACCAACCTGATCACCAACGAAGCCAATTAAAGCTAATCTCCGCCGTGAAAAAGATTCCTTGCCAGTTGAAAGTTCTTGAATTTGCCTCAGAACTTGAAATCCTGTATATATTGTAGACAGAATTGCAATAGCCAACACATACCTGTTATGATCACATCCCAAAATTCCATTCAATTTTCAAGACTAGAACAACATCTCCAACAAAAACAATAACAACGAACACTCGAACTTTGAGTATGCACATCTATAGACTATACATAATACACCTCACTCAACTCGTCTCAACCGTGTCAGTTGAACACTCCAACTGAAAAAGTATTATTATACCAAAACAAAGCATAGACTAAAATTGGTATATGAGTGTATACCTGTATTCTTCATATTTATCAAAATCTTTCCAATCACCATGAGTATTACTAGCCATAACAATGAAAGCAATCAATGAGAAAACCAAAGCAAGTCCATGCAAAATTAAACCACCCCTTTTCACTAAATCTTCTCTCTTCCATCTCCTCACGATTTCGGAGACACCGGTGCTGATTTCCGGTACCTGTCTCTCTCCATTTCCGGCTGCCGGAGGTGGAGTTGGTTCAGGCAAAACATCAGTCACCTTATGGGCATTTGCATCAGTCATTTTCTTCTCAAAATTAAGGCCTTTAATTATTGAACTGATAAACCAAATCAAGAATTATCGATAGATTTTGGGAATTGGAAGTGGAAAAGAAAAAAAAATGGGAACTTTTACAGAGACAACAGACAACTAGAATTATCTGTTTTCTTTGCTGTATTTGACAGCTTAATTTTGTCGCCGTCTTAAAGTTAGCTCCAAATGAGAAAGCGATTCCTACGCAAGATTTATTCGTATCAAAGCTTAAATCGAGATCTCTAATTAAGAAAAAAAGAATTTATTTAATTCCTAATTATAATTATAAGGAGTGTAATGTTATGTTATGCTCTTTTTACACCAAAATGTTATTATCCTCATCTAGTATTATTTCTTTCGTTTCAATTTATGTGACATTTTTTATTTTTTGAGAGTCAACCAATTTAAGTTTGACTGACAATTTACGCATGAAATCTTCAATTTTTTTAAAAATAAAATTTATATATTTATAATCTATGTAAAAAGTACTATAAGTCACAATAATTGACAATTCAAAATATTTAAAAGATTTATGAAAAATTTAAGGTAAAAAATAGACTTATTTGAATTTCAAACTTCAAAAAGTATCACATAAATTGGGACAAAGAGAGTAGTTATTATATTTCAATTTTAATTTGAATAATTTTTCAATTCAAATTAAATAGGATGATTTTTATTGGCAACAAATTAATTGATAAGGGTCCAAAAGGAGTTGTTAAAAGCTTAAATGTGGGTGTTTCTAGATAATTCGAGTGGGTCCTGCTGAGTTAACTGATATTCCAAGTCATCTAATTGAAGGATAATATTGGTTGTAATTTTTTTTCTTTATGACAATGATTTTAATCGATACACGTCCATTGCTCATTCGACAATTATTTTCGCTTTTCATAACTTGTATTCAAATTTTTAAGTCTTTTTTTTTTATGTGCGATTGTTTCTGAACAATTTCAAATATGTGGTTTCTAATAGGGGTGTGCATGGTATGGTACCATATGGTATTTGAAAGTTTTGATATCGTAATTTTGGTATTCGATTTTTATAACATTATATCAGTATCATACCGATTTAATTCGGTATGATTTGGTATATTGAAATTCAATTTTGGTATTTTACGATATGGTAAATCGGTAATCATAATTTGTTCAACTTCGACTAATATATATTCGTATAATAGAATATTATGATTTCGACAATTAAAAAAAATCTCAATTATATCATGCTAATACATTACACACGCAGAAATATATATGCCAAAATAAAGTACAAACAACTCATTTTTATTAATCAATTACAATTCAAATACATTTGAATCAAAATAGAGTAGTCAAAGTTTTAACTTTTAAACATTTTGTTTATACTAATACTAGGTTGCATATTTGCATATTTTAATAATATATATGTTATTTATGTAACTATATACTTCAGTATGATATTCAATATTACGGTATGTTATATCTAAGTACCAAATACCGTATCAAATACAAAAAGAACATATATATCATATACCACACTAAATATCATAATATCAAAGTCACAATATTAAATTTTTTAATATAATATGATATTTTGATATATACCATATCATGTCCACCCCTAGTGTCTAACGTTAGGTTTACTTTGACTGAAATTTAGGAAGAAATAATTGGATTTTAGCCATATGTGCTTTAGCAAAAATAGCCAAAATTCAGGTAAAAATGATTGTCAACTATACATGATGTAGTTTAGGAAAAATTGGTTGAATTTCAATCATTAAGTAAAAGAAAATCATGTGCGCCTGAAATTGCAAAATATATTGAAATTCAGTTATATATGATCGAATTTCATATTATCGCTGAACTTCAGTCATATGAAACTTTAAACACATATCTATAGTTATTTTGAAGTGATGGAGTTGCAAATTTCTACATGCTAAAAGTCTACGAGTATGACTTAAATGGTGATCTTGAAATCAAGTACTTGACATAAAGTTTAAAAAAGATTTTTAAATCTTGATCTTGGTCTTAAATTAAAGATAAATGTTCTTTAATTTTGTTATCTTAAATTATCATGTGGAAAGATTGAAACTAAAGAATTGTTTTTTTTTTTTTTAAAGTCTAAAAAATAAATTAAAACGAAGAAAATATAATTTAAACAATGATTCTACAAAAAAAATTTATGTTTTATTTACCGATCTTCTATGAAAAAGATCCCACAACTATGTAAATGAACCGAAAAATGGAGGAACGCTCCTTGTGTATAATTCCAAGATGGAAAAAGGGTTTATATATCTCCAACTTTGTTATTTAGAGCTGATATATTATAATTATAAAAGTAGCTCATATATCTCTACCATTACTCAAATGACTCGCATTTAGATTGAAAAGGTATATATATATATATATATATATATATATATAATACACTGGGTTATAATCAAGAAAGAATAAAAAAGTAAATGCTGAATTTTCTATGAATTTTTACATACTATCTCGTTCCTATTTACTTGTCGTCCTTATTAAAAATAGATATTTCTTAATACTTGTTATTTCATAAAATCAACATATAACACTATTCTTTTTATTTTATTCCCGAAAGCTATTAGCCTTAAAAGCATGCATTCTAGTAAACTACTCTAGAGTAAAAAACTAGAATTAGGTAGTAATTTATCACCTGATTGAATCTTTCTTACTCTATAGTTATTTATTAATTATATAAAAGAAAAAACAAAAGAAAATCAAGGGCTGAAATAACAGTGTAACAAAAAAAAAGAGTTATGGCCTTAGCATGGGTTAATTAGATGAGGTCTATTTTTAAACCTAATTAATTTATTATATTCTCTCTAATACTAATTACTAGTACATGTTTTTTTTTCCCCACAAATCATGAATGTTATCTCATGAGACAACATTCATGATTTGCTCATCACCTTCTTCCTCTTTTTTTTTTTTTTTTTTCTGATTTCCCTATAAGGAATCAGACATACTCCATATCTAAATTCTCTCACATTATAATTAAGAAGAGGAACATAATTAAGTTACTAAGTTAGGTTTTTTTTGGAGAATTAATTGCATGTAATTATGGATTTGATCTCCCAATCTCAAGAGTACAAGATCTAATTGCAAGATTATATAATTAAAGACAAGAGATGGGTGCATGTTGTACATGTCAAAGGGGACAAAAATTAGAAGGCAAGAATCATCATCATCATAATCATAGTCATAATCATAATCACCATCATCATAATAATCATCATAGTTATTTTGAGGAGAATAAAAATAATAATAATGGGGAGCATAAAGAAGGTGAAGATGATTATCAAAGCATAGTAGGAAGAGGAGATTTGGGTAATAATGTAAGGTTATGTGGATTTTCTAAATTTGTATCAATGTATAGTCAACAAGGTAAAAAGGGGATCAATCAAGATGCCATGACTGTTTGGGAGGTAATCTTCTTTCCCATTACTTTACATTAAATTATTAAGGTGTGGGTCTAGTGCACGAAGCATCTCGTGTTCACGGAGGGTCTGGGAAGGACCGCACCCTAAGGGATTAAGATCTCTTAGACCCCTTTCTCTATCATTCTATATTCCATTCAACAATGTAACCCTAATAGATGCAAATTTTCTTCACTATTATGTTTTTTCTTCTTTTATCATTTTTATGATAAAAAGTAGACATATCATATAATTCAAAGCATAGTATGATGCAATATTGTTATTGATATTATGTGTTGATCAATGTATCTTTAGGGTAGCTAGATGAATGATCCCTAAATTTATTCAAATAGAAAGTCATTTCTTTTGAACTAAAGTCTCCTTAGTTGTTCTGGCATTCAGTGGCAAAGATACATTGGCCCAAGGGTGGTCGATTGAATCCCTTCATAAAAAAAAAAACTCACTATGCATATATATGTCATGAAATTATATTATACATTGATAGTTGAATACAGTTAATACAAGGCACATCTTTTTTCGTAGTGGCAAAGGGGTTTACAAAGTATTTTAGGTCATGGGCTCGACTCTGAGCCCTGACGTTTTAGTAGTTATTGAATCCCCTTGACTCCTCCCCTGGTTGCATTCACCTTGAAAAAACTCATGACATTCAACTTGCATAGAGGTAGTAGTTTTATGTTTTCTGTTCTAGATGGTCACTCATTGCCTCATTGGACACTGAAAATTCGCTACGTAGGGCATAAATTATGATTTATTATGTGAAAATGGAGGCAGGGGATTGATACTATAATAACACACTATATATTATTGTACAGAACTTTGGTGGACAGAAAGGTATGTTTTTCTGTGGTGTTTTTGATGGACATGGACCATCCGGCCACAAGGTGGCACGTTACGTTAGAGACTCGTTACCTTCTAAACTTTCATCATCCAATGTGATCAGTACCAATGATATTAGATGGGATGCCGAAAAGGATGATGAATCTAACAACCCAATCTTCGATGCATGGAAAGATAAATTTATCAAGTCTTTTAAAGAAATGGATGAAGAACTTGAAGGTGATGGTTCTATCGAAAGCTATTGCAGTGGTACAACTGCAGTGACTTTAGTTAAACAGGTAAAAGAAAACATACTTGAAAGAGCTTAAATATGTTAAACGAAACGATGGTTTCTTTGATCTTCTTGTTCATAATCTAAGGTGGCTAGATTTGCGGAATTTTCAGGGAGAACATTTGATAGTTGGAAATTTAGGAGATTCTCGAGCTATTATTTGCACCAGGGATGACAAAAATGAGCTTGTTGCTAAGCAACTCACGGTAGACTTGAAGCCTAACCTCCCAGGTAGGTGCTTTTTTACATTATCAGTGTATTGTAATCGGTTATAGCAGGTTCTTTACCAAATTTTAATTGCTATAGATAGTTAGTTGGAGAGGGGGATCTATGATTCGGACTTTATGAGTTCTGTATTCTAGGACAACAACCTAAGTGTTAGTAACTCGGTTCTCAATATAATTTTTGTACATATTAGTAAATATCTTATTACATATATAGGATTCGGACCCAAGCCACTGAGTTCTGTCGAACCTGTATTGTATAAGCCTAGATCTGCCCCTGATTAGCTGTTGTTACTAGTCATCCTTGACCTGATGGAGTAATATATCTTTACAAAAGTTGTGTTAATAAGATTGGCTTAGTTTTGTTAATCTATTTGTGCAATCATCTCATCAGCTGAATATGAAAGAATCAAAAGTTGTGAAGGAAGAGTAATGGCGATGGAGGAAGAACCAAATATATACAGAGTATGGATGCCTGATCAAGATTGCCCTGGCCTTGCCATGGCAAGAGCTTTCGGAGATTTTTGTTTGAAAGACTTCGGTCTCATCTCGGTACCTGAAGTATATTATAGAAAGCTCACTGAAAAGGATGAATTCATTGTCTTGGCATCGGACGGGGTAAGCTATATCAGAATTCAAACTTCTTGCATATTCCCCCGAATCCTAGTACTTTTGGCTAGAACTTGCAGAAAAGACAACGCAATCTTGCTATGTTACGTTTCTAAATTTGTGAGGGTAACATGTCTTTGTGTAGCTTAGTTCATTAGATCGTTACTACGTCTAAGATGAGTTTAAATGGAGAGGCATGGTTAGTGATAATTCATATAGCCGATTCCAACTTGTAGTTATAGTAGTATTACTACATTGTTCGTCTAAGATAAGCTTAAATGGAGCAAAATGGTCAGTGATGATTCAGATAGCCAACCCCATAGTAGTATCACTAAATTGCTCCCTCATATGCCAAAAATGGAATTGACACCAACGTCTCACGAGGAAGCTCCGGATTACACATTTTGCCAACAGTAGAGGACTAGTGGTAGATTCATAATTTAGAGTCAATGAGTTCAGAGTAGTCGCAGTCTAATATTTAAAACATGACTTCTTTTTTTTTGCATAATGCATATAATTCGAGTAAAAGAGACTTAATAAGACAGCTAATGCACATTGTCTTGTTTCTGGTGTATAGTTGTGGGATGTTTTAAGCAACGATGAAGTGATCCGGATAGTAGCTTCAGCAAGGAAGCGATCTATTGCAGCAAGACTCGTGGTGCATCATGCAGTTCGAGCCTGGAAATACAAGTACCCGTGTGCCAAGGTAGATGATTGTGCTGTTGTATGCTTGTTCTTGAAACGCCAGAAGCCTCTGCTAACGAAATCGTTGTCAGAAGTAACCGAGCTGAGCTTAAATTATTCAGAGATAGCAACCAGCAAAAACTACTCACCAAACTCCAAGATAGATGATGGTCTTGATACACTGCTAAATTATCAAGTCAAGGAAGAAAAAGATCCAAATGTTGCAACTGGACTTAATGATGATCATAAAAAGAGTTCTTCGAGACACGCTCGTTACCTTAGCAGACGAAAATCTGCAGTGAATTTTTGAGTCCATTGTAATGAAGCAGTAATGTGTGAAATTGAAAAGAAGAAAAAAAAAATGTAAGCTACAAATTTAAATGAAATACTTGTATGTATTTTGATTTGTATAGTAGTACTAGTCAAATAGCCCAAGGCAAAAGATGAATGATGGTGTATTTGGCAAAAAAAATGATGACAGAATAAGGATTGACACCTTGGAGAGTTGAAAAATGTTGTTGCTACTTGCTATATAACCTAGCTAATTAACTAGAAAGGAACATGGCATTGTGATGAATCATGATACAGCTCAGGTTGAAGATCGGGGGAAGTTTAAAAGATGAGGAAACCTAGCCGCTTCTGGTCAGGGTGGGGATAAGTTTTTTGCTTCTTCACAAACTTATCCCCACAAATCCGACCTTGTAAGGCTAGTGCTTGGTGTTCGTTTATTCTATCATGTTCAGATAGGCGACTAATATTAAAATAACTAGTGAAGTAGTTTCCATCAGACTAAATGTTCGTTTCGTACACTAATTCTCCCTCCCCCACCCCCATTTTGAACGAAAAAAAAGTGTTACATTATATTTTCTTCAATGGCTAACAGATTGATTGATTCATAGTGTTCTATGATTTCTTTATGTCATATCTTAATAACAAATTGATTGCACCTATAATTGAAATGTAAATCGAACCTTTTTCTTATAATAACCGTGAAATATTAGTATACCAATAATATAAAATTAATACATCAACAATTATAACCACCTTCCAGGAAGAGTGTCAAGAGCTAGAAATTAAAAAAGCGCGATCTTAGCTAGAAATATTCCATGGAGATGTATGCATTCCCCTCACCATCCTTGTGAGCTCCAAATCAATTAATCAAAATTGTACACTTGTAAGAACATTTTTCATGCTATCTGCATTCTTTGATCTCCACTATATTTTACAACAATATAGCAAAAAAAATAATATATTTTTCTCTTTTGTTTTTTGGTTTTTGAGATTATTCTTATAGTTGCCAAAAACAACTAAAGCTAGAGGCAAATTATAAAATTAAAGAGAGACACCAAAAGGTAAAAAGATAAAAGAATTTCCTAATTATCATTGTTAAGACATTGCACTTTTCACTAGCTAGACAATTAGTTAGCTAACTTATGGTGGGTACTTGAATTTTCAAAAAGTAATTTTGTTATGGTATATTGTAACGTTTTATCATATGGTCAAATAGTTTTCCATTTTGCACATGAAAAAACTAAGATATATTTCACATAAAATATAATTCTTACCTCTCACATTAGGATTAATAGTATTTTTGATCCCTCAGTTATTAGTGAATTTTGATTTTTAGTCCCTATAGTATGTCACTAACCACATTTTAACCTTCAATGTGTATATTGAATTGTGCACTTTCAATCCCTTTATTTGTGAATATTCACAAATATACTATAATTATTAATTTCTTAATTTCTCTTGCATTATATCAAATTTACATGGTTACACCATAATTAACGACAATATAGTGTACATATATAGTCACTATTATGTTCACTATTCATAGGACAATATAGTGTATATATATAGCACATTTAGATAACATCCACTATTCATAAGAACTTATACTTTATCGTTCATTTTATAATTTCTTACTTAATTTTCTCATTTAATAATATTCACAATATTTTTGAAAATAGGGTAGTACATGGTTTGATATTCACGTGCAACGCATGTGCGTCAAAACTAATATAGTTAAATATACCATGTTCTCTACATAAATAAAGGAACCAATAGGCAATAACACACATTTAAATTAATTGAAGAATAAATATATTGGGTCATATATCACAATTAGGACCAAAAGGAGACTTTACCAATTACTTTGGGATCAAAAGTATTATAATCCCCTCACATTAGGTAGGTTTGGATGGTTAATTTAAAAGGAAAATATTTACCTACATTCTGTCCTGGGCCGTCAACCGAATTTTATTAGTAAATGAATTAGGTTAGAAATCTTGAGACTTCCGTCAAGAGTGTTCTGCTGAAAAATCCTCTGTCAATCGCCAACACTTTTCCATGAATAGATCAGACGATCCTCGAAAAAATTCATTAAGGTTAGATTATTACTTACTTTTATAGAAAAATACATCAACTTATATCAATTTATCATGATTAAATCTAAGTAAATTGTTCCAAATGTAGACACAAAATGTAAATGTAGTTTTGTTAGATTGTCAATTTATGGTAGTGCTCCTAGTTAATAAACTTACACCTCATAGATTTAGGGAATGAAGATTATCGTTTGAAAAACTAGTGGTTAAGAACAAATAAAAATTGATAAAATGAGTCTTTAAAAATTTATAAATATAGAAATTGTATCTTCACCAATTTCATAAATGACTGAATAATCGAAAAAAGGTCAAAATGGTCCTTAGTATATCTTCTATCTATGAGATAAAATTTGTCCTTTCTTTTATCGATCTATTGGATCAAATTTACCTTTAACATTTTTTATGTTTAAAATTGTTCATCTATTAACGATACATTTATATGACATTGAATTAAATATTTTATTTATGGCCTTTATTTGTTGGTTGCATAGACTCGTCCAGCATAGACTCGACCCATCCATGACCAAGGGTGACTAAATCACCTAAAATTAGAGGTGGATATGGTTTTAGTCAACTTGAAATCCAAACTTTTTAGTTATTTGATCTGTATTTTTGGATTATGGATTGAACTTGAATTTTTTCTTTTAAAATTTACGAATTTTGTATTGGATATCAGATTTAGTATTACAATTTTTGGATATCTGAAAATCCAAAATTCTTATGTCTTATATTAAGTCATATCCATACCATATGTGTTCAATATTAATAAGTTCAATTTCCAAAGATCTAATAGATCAGTCCTCTAAGGCCCTACTATTAGAGTATTAAGTCCAATATGAAATTATACAATGGGAAATACAATGTTCTCAGTCCTTGTTAACGGTAGAAATTGTATATTAGGGAGTAAAATATTAGATGAATTGAAGTTGTTAATTGTTATGGCTTGCCTTAAAGGCTCAAAAGTCAAAATAAAAAATATAAAATATTCAAGTCGACTAATCCAAAATCTAACTTAAAAAATCTAATTCAATCAGAGCTTATTTGTATTGTAATTACTTCAATAAAAAAAAGATATATCTAAACCGAAATTTTCCATTCCAATTTGAATGGCACAAACACCCAACTCCCACTCCTACCTAAATCGAATTACCTAATTGTTGTGCCGAATCGAGCTTTGAAAGACAGGTATTTAATATTTAGTTTTAGTTATCAAAATTGAATTTTAAAAATACCAAATCGAATATCGAATATCGACCCCTAAAGATCCCGTGTCTGGCTTTTGTCTGTGGTAACAATTGTCATATCATATGTTTACTTTCCATGTGTTGTATTCACTAAGCATATCAAAGCTAATTGATATAACTGAATTCACCAAGAACTCAAGTTTGAAACTTCGACTATTTATTTATTTTTAGGGTACGTTCGGTACGGAAAAGTATTCTCAATTAAATAAAAAGAAAAATCATTTAAATTTTAAAATTTAAAATAATCAAATAAATTTGAATTCTTAAAGTAAATTCCATATAATATCAAATGTGAAATATAAATTGTAGAATATTTTCAAAATAAATAAAATATAACATAAGAAAGTAAAAAAAAAAAAAGTACAGTTGGTCAGTTGGGTGTGTTAGTTTGTTTCATCAAGTACTTGGGAGTGCAGTTTCGCGCCTCTTTTAGTTATATAACAGTTTTCTTCTTCCATTTAAAAGTGAAAATTCTCTCAGGTAATTTTCCCTTTTCTTCTCCAGTTCTCATTGTAAATTCGATTTCGATACAATTGAACTTCGGTTTTATAGGTATATTTGGTTCAGATAACCGTCTGATCATCGATGTGATAGCTACAATACTCTCTTGTTGAGCAAGGAAATTATACATTTCATCGATTTTTGCTACTGTGATTGTCTCGCTATGTTATATATCCTTGTATTTATGGGCTTGTAGTTGATTAAGCATTTGATGTGATTCCTCTGTACTTTTTACTGAGCGATTTTAGTCTATGTGAAAGTTTTCCTTGTTTGATTTTGATGTTTAAGTCTTCGGATTTTGATTCATTTCTAGCTGTATCATATGCATTTAGTTGTTGATGTGAATTTGGACATGCTTTGTTGGATTTATATTTGAGGTCTCGTTCGTACTTTATTATTTTGACTGTTTAATTCTTGTGCTTTGTCTAGCTTGATTATAGTAGTAGATCTATTTTTCATTTACAGTTCTGTCCATATGAATTTTTCAGGATGTGGGAAAGAAAAAAACATTTAGAAATCTGCCAAGAGATCAACTAGGCGGTGTTATATTTGGCTGCACCAATGATACAATAAGAGAGTGTCTCGAAAATCAACTAGTAGGTCAGTTATTTGGCCCTAATATATTGTCCTTTGATTAAAAAAAATTAGGACTATGGGTTGTTGTTACTCAATTATAAACATTTTAAAATCTTTGACAGGTTTGCCTAGAGCACACTTTATATATGTGAAAAATGTAAATCCTGGTTTGCCAGTGTTCTTGTTCAATTACGACGATAAGAAGCTCCACGGAATCTTTGAGGCTGCAAGCTCTGGTCAAATGCAAATCAATCCATATGCTTGGAAAAAAGATGGTGATGAAAGAACACGATTTCCTGCACAGGTTTCATATCATTGTTTCTTTTTGGCTTTATCTGCTTATGTTGATGCACGCCGTGTTGGCAAAAGATATGAACAACTACTCGAATAAGATGTTAACAGAGAAAAACTTGATCTTTTTCTATTACTTCAGAAGACAACACTACAAGTTTTCAAATAGAACTTGGAAAGAAACAAACCTAGAGTAAAAATATGGAACTAGTTTAGCACTAACCCATGACCTGCTAACTGATTAACATCAACTTATTAGGATTCCTAGAGCTAGTTAACTGGAAACATAAAAGACTCCTAAAAGTACTGCCACTAACACTTCCCCTTGATTCAAACTCACACACTCCCAACTGCAACTTGAAATATTCATGCTTCGTAAATATATCCGCTGCTTGCTCATTTGTGCCGCAGAATTTCAGCACTATTATTCCATCCGCTACCAATGTCCGGATAAAGTGATATTGCACATCAATGTGCTTAGTTCTCCCATGAAAAGAGAGATTCTTAGCCATAGCAATTGCTGATAC